AATTGGCAACCTCCATTCCAAAAAACATAGTCTTCGATATTCTTCTTGATTAGGTGGTTTCAATTCCCTATTTTATAATTAATGTTAGGAACAATATTTCTAAAATTATAATTGTAGAAATTAACTCATCAAAAAAGGCTTCAGGAATAAAAGGATACGGGTTTGAAATATATTTTAGCAGTTCTTCAAGCGCCTCAGTTTGTTTAATTGCAATTTTCATATTGCTCATTTTTAAATAATCGATAAAATCTTCGTCTTGATTCATTTCATTAAATTCTACAACTTCATTAACGTCTTTTTGCCCTTCAGGGGAGGACGATTTTATTTCATTAAACTTTTTGTTAACATCTAGGAGAAAGCTAACAATTTGAGGATTGCGCTCCCGTAAATTACGGCAAATTATATATCTATAAAAATAAATATTAGAATAAAAATCTAGTAGTATGCAACATCGACATTTGAACGAACCGTTCAGAATTTGCAGGTCGACTTGATAGGGGTTTAATAATACATATTTTTTCGAAATGACGATATAAGATCCATACCATCCCAGCAGTAAAAGGAGTGAAAACGTCAAATAATTTTAAAACAAAATCACCATCTGAGGAAGCAAAATTACAAATAAGAAACATATTAAATCATAAAAATAACAAGCTTAACAGAAATTTGTTTACTCTTTTGCAAAGTCATAAACATTGTAATTATCTGACATAGTATAAGTTGTTTTAAATGATGTTCCTGAAGACGTTCACGACCTCGAACATCAAATCCCTAATAATAATATTAATTTATTTATTAGCAAAAATGAAATAATTGAATGTAAAATATTAAGATAGTTTACCCCATCAGCAGTAACCAAGTCAGCACCTTCATTTTTAGTCCCCATCATCACCTCATTTGCGAAATGTCGAATATTTTCTTCCTTATAAAGATTACCTACATCAATAATCTATATTATGATAGTACTATAAAGTGAACACGAACATAACGACTTAAATCATACCTCTACCATCCGCACCATAAGAAGGTTTAAAACATTCGCGAACCTTAGCATCCGC